TTAAATGGCTGATTCACTGTAGTATTTCTGTGAAATTCAGGTCATACACTTCTCAATTTTCTACTCTTGCACATGAAAATGCAGCAGAAAACAAGTTTGTCCATCCCCTGGGTTTGCATAAATGTTTGCATAACATTTTAAGAGAGAGAAAAAAATCAGCTCTTAGCAGAGCTAAGTGTCTAAGATCAGTTAAACAGTGAGTTTGACTTCTGCAGTCCAGCTTTGTAAAGATAGTGTGTAGGTTTTTATTGTGTAAAGTGATAGAAAGATGAAAGAAGAAAAGCCTTATCTCTTATTGCAGGACATTGAACAGGAGACTTTTCAGACAGGAAATATATAGGAAATTCTTGTTCTGATTCTGCCTTGGTGAGTTAAAAAAGAGTTTCATTTGGCTGCATAGTAACCTTTTGGATTAGTCTTTGCTTTGAATTTGCCTATATTGTATGTGTGCTCCCACAGACGATTTCAACATGTGATTCCTTTGACTTGAGATAATGAGTTATTTGCTGAATGTTTTGGTTGCTTTTTCTTTACATTAATGGTGTTAGGCAGACTTAATGTAGGAAGAGGAGTGGTAAAGAGTATGTATTTATTACGATTGATTATGTTGGCCTTCTATGATGGGGCTACAGAACTGATGGACAGGGGTAGAGCAGTTGATGTCATCTACCTGGACTTGTGCAAAGCGTTCGACACTGTCCCACACGACATCCTTGTCTCTAAACTGGAGCGACATCAATTTGATGGATGGACCACTCGGTGGATAAAGAACTGGCTGGATGGCCGCACGCAAAGAGTTGTGGTCAATGGCTCAATGTCCGGCTGGGAGACCAGTAACAAGTGGTGTCCCTCAGGGATGGGTGCTGGGACTGGTCTTGTTCAACATCTTCGTCGCTGACATGGACGGTGGGATTGAGTGCACCCTCAGCAAGTTTGACGATGACACCAAGCTGTGTGGTTCGGTTGATCCACTGGAGGGAAGGAATGCCATCCAGAGGGACCTTGACGTGCTTGTGAGGTGGGCTGATGCCAACCTCGTGAGGTTTAACCATGCCAAGTGCAAGGTCCTACACCTGAGTCGGAGCAATCCCAGGCACAGCTACAAGTTGGGCAGAGAAGAGATTCAGAGCAGCCCTATTGAGAAGGACTTGGGGGTGCTGGTCGATGAGAAAATGAACATGAGCCGGCTTCAGTGTGCGCTTGCAGCCCAGAAAGGCAACCGTATCCTGGGCTGCATCAAAAGGAGCGTGACCAGCAGGTCAAAGGAGGTGATCCTGCCCCTCTACTCTGCTCTTGTGAGACCTCACCTGGAGTATTGTGTACAGTTCTGGTGTCCTCAACATAAAAAGGACATGGAACTGTTGGAACAAGTCCAGAGGAGGGCCACGAGGATGATCAGGGGACTGGAGCACCTCCAGTATGAAGACAGGCTGAGAAAGTTGGAGCTGTTCAGCCTGGAGAAGAGAAGGCTGCATGGAGGCCTCATAGCAGCCTTCCAGGATCTGAAGGGGGCCTATAAGGATGCTGGAGAGGGACTCTTCATTAGAGAGGGGTAATGGATTAAAACTTAAACAGGGGAAGTTTAGATTGGATATAAGAAGGAAATTCTTTCTTGTTAGGGTGGTGAGGCACTGGAATAGGTTGCCCAGGGAGGTTGTGAATGCTCCATCCCTGGCAGTGTTCAAGGCCAGGTTGGACGAGGCCTTGGGTGATATGATTTAGTGTGAGGTGTCCCTGCCCATGGCAGGGGGGTTGGAACTAGATGATCTTAAGGTCCTTTCCAACCCTAACAATTCTATGATTCTATATTTGCCTATTCAGTAGAAAATAGCTTCTAAAATATGGTGGGTTTTTAGTGTTTTTTTTTTGGGGGGGGGGAGGTTTACAGCAGTGAGTACTGTGCTTCAAAATGTGTCTTTTGAAAACAACTTGGTGCTTAGTTTGTTGTTTAAAATAAAATCTCCTTGCATGTTCTGGTGAGTGTTTACAGGTGAGGAAGAGAGTGAAAGTAGCCACATCAGAGTGCCAGGTATATTAAAGTGGGAGGAAAACTAGTTACATGAGCTGTAAAACCCTGAAGCTAACATCCTTATTATTGCAAACTGGGCCATTGGCTCCATGCCATCTCAAAAGTGTGTCAGTCACAAGCTCCGTCTTTGCAGCAGTATTATTCTTTGAAAAGCTTTTAAATAAACAGCTGAGTGCCTCAAATGCTCTCAAAGAGCATTTGAGAGCTGAAGGTTATGGGACTTCGTAACAAACAGCAAACTGTAGCACAAAGCTATGTCTTTAAAGTGCCTTCATTTCCTGCCAGTAACACTTAATTATTCCAAGGCTAGTTTGGTTTAGTGTCTTCCTTGCCTGACTTTTGGCAGGTTTCAGGACCTCTGTGTTTGAACATAGAATCATAGAATAGTTAGGGTTGGAAAGGACCTTAATATCATCTAGTTCTAACCCCCCTGCCATGGGCAGGGACACCTCACAGAAAACCATGTCACCTAAGGCTCCATCCAGCCTGGCCTTGAACGCTGCCAGGGATGGAGCATTCACACCTTCCCTGGGCAACCCATTCCAGTGCCTCACTACCCTCACAGTAAAGAACTTCTTCCTTATATCCAATCTAAACTTCCCCTGTTTAAGTTTGAACCTGTTACCCCTTGTCCTATCACTACAGTCCCTAATGAAGAGTCCCTTCCCAGCATCCTTGTAGGACCCCTTCAGATACTGGAAGGCTGCTATGAGGTCTCCTCACAGCCTTCTCTTCTCCAGGCTGAACAGCCCCAACTTTCTCAGCCTGTCTTCATACGGGAGGTGCTCCAGTCCCCTGATCATCCTCGTGGCCCTTCTCTGGGCTTGTTCCAACAGTTCCATGTCCTTTTTGTGGCTGAGGACACCAGAACTGCACACAGTACTTCAAGTGAGGTCTCACGAGAGCAGAGTAGAGGGGCAGGATCACCTCCTTCGACCTGCTGGTCACTCTCCTTTTGATGCAGCCCAGGATACAACTGGTTTCTGGGCTGTGAGCGCACAATGAAGCTGGCTCATGTTCATTTTCTCATTGACCAAGACCCCCAAGTCCTTCTCCACAGGGCTGCTCTGAATCTCTTCTCCACCCAGCCTGTAGCTGTGCCTGGGATTGCCCTGACCGATGTGTAGGACCTTGCACTTGGCATGGTTAAACTTCATAAGGTTGGCATCAGCCCACCTTACAGGCATGTCAAGGTCCCTCTGGATGGCATTCCTTCCCTCCAGCGTGTCAACTGAACCACACAGACTTGGTGTCATCGTCAAACTTGCTGAGGGCACACTCAATCCCACTGTCCATGTCACCGACTAAGATGTTGAACAAGACCAATCCCAACACCGACCCCTGAGGGACACCACTTGTTACTGGTCTCCAGCTGGACATTGAGCCATTGACCACAACTCTTTGCATGCGGCCATTCAGCCAGTTCTTTATCCACCGAGTGGTCCATCTGTCAAACTGATGTCTCTCCAATTTAGAGACAAGGATGTCATGCAGGACAGTGTCGAACACTTTGTGCAAGTCCATGGAACATGTCAAATAGGACAACAAGTCTCCTGGTAGTTCATCCCTGAATTTACCGTATTTTGCTGGCACAGAAAGAATGACTGTTCATAAACTCATGATTGTAGTATCCTTCCATCATGCCATCAGCAAAAGGGAAAAGAAGCACTTCTCTGCTCGTTTTGTTCAGCTGCTGCTTGATGAAAAATTGTCTGAATGCTAACCTTTCAGCTATTTGGGAAAGTACTTTTTTATGGCACTTACGTTCTTTTGTGTGGGGATGGCGTCTAGCACACCAGATTTCTTTTTACTTAGTTATGTCTTGCTTTCTTGTTGTGCTTAAGAAAAAATAAGCGCCTCTTTCTCTTCCTTTCTGCCCCTCAGCAAAGCTTTGGGCAACTGTCTTCAGAAGAATTTAATGCTTTCCACACACAGCTTGGTAAAATTTTCATGGACATGATTTTTGTAAAGGGAAACAGTGAAGCATACATAGTCCCATGATGAGAATTCATCAGCCGCTGATAGGGTAGGATTTTTGTAGTGCTTGCAAATTTAAAATATACTGTATTATTCAATTTAAATTATGCATTAAATGTTCTCTATCTTTAATCATAAAATCTTCAGTACTAAAATAAAAGTCTAATTGAGAAAGCCCCTGTCTACCCGATTGCCTTCTAATCGTCTATGTTTACTGATGATAATACTCTTCTGCACATACACGTAAGAACAAGCAAGGTTTTAATCCAGTAATTTTTTTATTTTTTTTTTTTTGGCTGTTAAAACTCTTCTCTGTTGCTAGAGTAGATTAGATGGAATAATGCAAAATCTAGGCTCTTTTCTTTTGTGAGAATGACAATGCCAAGTATTCCCCTGTAGAGGAGGTGAATAGAGCTATAAAGCAGCAGCATCACTTTTGCTTTTCAGTCAATCGACCCAATCTAATAGAAAATTAAGACCACTACTGAATTAAAATAACAATCTCTGTACAGTCCTTTGGGAAAACTGAAGTTATTTCTGTGCAATACCGTAGGTTTCACTGTAAGTAGGTTCTACGAGGTTTGCAGAAACAAATAGCGTGTTAAAAGTAGAGAACAAATATGGAAAAATCTTGCTCAGGGATTTTTTTCCTAGAGAAGGGTGCTGAAGCCATAGTGAATGCCTAGGGGCACTATTGGGCTCTTCAGGAGGGGTTAGGTAAGACTTCTACATTGTAACATAGTATTTTGTCTACTAAACTCATACATATATTATGTGTAGTATGCACTTACTGTAAAAAGGCAGCAAAATGAAAACAGTTTTAAAATTATCTAAAGATGGAAAGATTATGCAAGACTTACTGAATTGTCATCTTTCTGGTAACTTAAGAAGCCTCTATTTGGGTAGGTACTTAAAAAAGAGAAGTAAAACAGTAACAAACCAACAGGGCCAGACTTGAGCTTATCACTAATGTTTACTGTTTCCACATTCTCAGGGGCATGAAGCCTTTCAGGAAGGCTTTCCAGAGGAAGAGCTAACAGACTGCTCTGAAGTCAATACAAGCTTCTGTGAAACAGCAGGGTTTGGAGGACCTGTGTTAGAGAGCAACTGTTTTCAGGTACCTGCATTAAATCTCAGCCTTGCTTTTCTGCCAGCTGCTGCAGAGCAGAAGATTAGCAGACATGTCCACTGCACTCAAACAAGTCTTTAATAAAGACAAGACTTTCCGCCCAAAACGCAAGTTTGAACCTGGAACCCAGAGGTTTGAACTTCACAAACGAGCACAGGCATCTCTGAACTCAGGCGTGGACTTGAAAGCAGCTGTGCAGTTGCCTAGTGGAGAAGACCAAAATGACTGGGTTGCTGTTCATGTTGTTGACTTCTTCAATAGGATCAACCTTATTTATGGAACTATCTGTGAGTTCTGCACAGAGAAGACCTGCCCAGTGATGGCTGGAGGCCCTAAGTATGAGTATCGGTGGCAGGACGACATGAAATACAAGAAGCCCACAGCATTGCCAGCACCCCAGTATATGAATCTTCTTATGGACTGGATCGAGGTGCAAATCAACAATGAGGATCTCTTTCCTACAAATGTAGGTAAGTGCAAGAAAGAAGTCCTAAAGCATAAACTGCCTTTCATGCTGTGTACTAAGAATGTTCGCTTCCCACCCTCTTTTTTAGTGACTGTGAAATTCAACCCTTTAAACAGCAGGTGGGAAGGAGGAAGGTGTCTTGCAGGAATAGTGTCAAATGTATGAAGTGTTAACTGTGGCTTATTGTGAGGTTAATGATGGGGTATGTTAGCCTAAAATGTTATCATTCCATTTGTCCCTGGTAAGCCTCTCAGGTTAATCACTAAGGGTGGTCATATTGTATTAGCTGGTTGAAAGCTAATTTACATTGTTGAAAGCTAGTTTACATTGTTTTGCATTTTGCCTAGGCACTTAGGCACTTGTATCTGATATAGAATGGATGAAAAGCAAAGCATAATTGGAGTGGTACTTCCCTTAAAAGTATGTACAGTTGTGTGCTGTACAAGGCAGTGGAGAGTCAGGAATGCAGTGAACTCTGGCCTCCCACCCTCTCTTGATTTCCCATCCAAATCTGAGGACTGAGTAGTGAATTGTTCTCTAAAGTACTGTTTCTAAGACTATATGTAACTAACAAGCTTTGCTGTAGTTTAACCAGACAGCCCAGATGAGCTGCACAGTTTTCCTTTTATAATACTATTCTTAGTTTTTCTGAAGAGTAGGGTGGATAGGGGGAAGTATCTTTGCTGGAATAGTTTCCTCTGCATGAAGAGAACTTTGCAGAAGATTTCATGTAGTGTAAACAGCCTGAATCTTTAGCTGTGGCTGCGTTTAATAAAACAACCCCCAGAATGTTGTACCTTAGAGATGTCAGCGTACCTGTGTATTTTTTGGCAGTTTTAGGTAATGAGTCCTGATTCACTTGTTGCAAGTCAGAAAGATGGGAGCTTGCTGTAGGAAATGTGAGATGTCATATATAAGTACTCAGCCCAGCTGAGTAACAATCAAGAATAATGCTCATAAATTAGTTCAGCCCAATATTTTGCAGTTTATATGCAACTGCAGTCTGTGGTAAGTTGGTAGATGGCACATCAAGAGACTGTCTATCAGTATTTTCTGACCTTTAAAATAATCTTGTTCTTGGCCTTGACAGCTGTCTCTGCAGACAGACTTGTGGTTTGTTTGCCAATTCCTATCACTTTTTGTCGTGGTTTAAACCAAACCAGACAACTCGTTCACTCACTTCCCCCCGCTTCTTGCCCTCCCCCTACTCCTGGAGGGAGAGAGAGGAGAGTCAAAAAGAATGCAACTCCCACGAGTTGAGATAAGAATAGTTTAGTAAGTAAGGTATAACACAAATCACTACTGCTACCACCAATAATAATAATGATAAAGGAAATAACTAGGGAAGAGAATACAACACCTCACCACCAGCCAACTGATAACTCCTCCCCCCACCCCCCCCGACCAAGCGCTGACCCACACCTCCTCCAACCCTGCAGTCCACCAGCCCTTCCACGTAACTCCCAGTTAACCCCCCAGGCATGACGTGCTGTGGTATGGAATACCTCTTTGGTCTGTTTGGCTCAGGTGTCCTATCTCTGCTTCCTCCTGGCTTCCCCTCCTCCCTGGCAGAGCATGAGGCTCACAAAGTCCTTGGCTAAACCAAAACATCCTTGTTATCAGCTCTGTTCCCAGGCCAAAAATCAAAACACTGCACTGCACCAGCTACCAAGAAGGAGAAAAATGACTGCTACTGCTGAACCCAGGGCACTTTTCTACACTAATGGGTAGAAAGAAGGCCTCCTAATATGTAATCTAAATCTACCCTCCATAGGTTTAGTATTAAAGCTTTATTAATATTAATAAATTAACCTTTATTTTCACTCAGAAAAATTAATGATGGTGAAAATAATGATTGTTCGTTCTTCAAAGAAGTTGAAACAGATCTTGAAAGATGATATACTCAGCTGTGAAAACTGAACAGGCTTAGGTATATCCTTACTAATAGGACAGCAGTTTTAAAGCATTGAGTGGCTGTAACTTAAAGAGCTTAATTATTTCTTTGGATCTTTGTAGCATATGGTGTGCAGAGAATTGTTCTGGTAAAAGTGTATGTCCAGTGAATGGAGTTTGGGATAATCTTTCCATTAGCAAATGAGTTTGGTGAAGAGATCCAGAGTCAGCTTGACAGGATCTGTCCACAGAAACTTGAACATATTTTTCTCAGTTTAATCCTATTAAACTTGTCCTCCTTCATTTGATGTATCTCATGCATACTGTCTAAAAAAGGGATTTCAAGAACTGTGATCAAGTGTAGCTTTCATTGAGGAGCTACTTTGAAGGAAAATCACTCATTTCAGGATAGGCAGGACAGGGATATCCAGGCTTGGTGGGCTTTTTTTTTGCTTTATTTTTGCTTTTTTTTTTGTGGTGGTGTTCCTCTGTGGTTTAAAAAAAAAACTGAACCATCAAATGCACTTGAGTTATACATTGTCATGAATGATGTATTTAACCCTCTCAGTGTTTACACTGGCATGATTACTGACATGAAAGGCAAGGGAAATAGATCAAGCCTGCACTGGGCAGAAACCTGAAAGGCTACAACAAGCAATGTCCTTGAGTGAATTGCAGTGCTTCAGGGTGATGCATTCAGCTGCTGTTTCTCACTGCCGAAATGAATAACAATGCTACAGCACCCCAACAAGGCACATCTTTAGTACCACTCTGGTTTCGTTAGAGCCACTTGCAGGTCTCTGTACGTCCTGTGGTCTGATGCTGTTTCCTCTCTGCTTTTCCTAGTCATTCTGGTCTATTCACTCTTCTTCTAGCCACTCTCCTACTAAAAGAGCTGGCTGGCAGGAGAACAGGGAGCTGGTATGGGAACAGGAGAGTTGTCAAGAAATTGTGTGCAGGTTTCAAAAGCAGGTGATGAATATTAGGACCACTTCTTTGTGTAGCAGAGCTTTACAGACTGTCTTTGTAAATGGCCTCAAAACCTGATAGGGTTTTAAACATGCTGATTTCTTTGCTCTTAGTTCTGTTATTCTCAATTTCCTTGATCCATTTTTATGTGGATTTAATACATCTAAGAGGCCAACAGCTCTGGAAACAAGTTCTGTATGTAGCCACAGATATATCCTGACCTGTCTCAGCCCTCAGTGAGTTGGGAAATCAGAAGCAGAGTGGAGAATTCACTCTGTATCCCTGCTCAGGCTACATTGGTGAAACTGCATGAATTTTTATAGTGTGCTGGAGTTTTATTTGGCCTTAGGGTAAACTCTGTCATCAGTAAATACTAGCTTTTCCAGGCACCTAGTAGTCTTACTATTTAAACACATTTCAAGGGATCTTTTTCTTGGGCTGGTATAGATAACTTAAATACTTCATAGCCTCAAAAGTACCTTTTCTCCTCCCTTCCCCACCCCTGTTCTTTTATCTCTGTTCTTTTTTGGTAAACAGGTTGAAGAAATACTGTGGGAAGCAGTAGATCCATTGGGCAGTTGCAGTTTTTTGGTGGACTGGACTGCAGTTGTCAGCTTCCACCGTATGTGTTTGGGCAGCATCAAGAAAAGAAGGTGCCAGAGCGAGCAGTGCTCTACTGCTGTGCTCCCTGCAGACCCTGATTCCCAAACAAGACAAACTCAGTTGCCTTAGGTGTTCTCTCCTCCTCATTGCAGCCTTAAATTGGGAGTAGTTCTCTCTTGCTTGGATTTTCGTTGAATGGAATGTTGTTTTTTTTCTGTTGTAACAGTTGCTGGGAAAGATACCCAGGTATTTAAGGCCACAGGGAATTATTTCATTTATTCTAATCTGACCTCCAGCATAACACAGGCGAGAAAACATCACCGTGTGTTTTGTTCATCAGGTCCAGAGTTTGAACTTCCACCTCCTTGCTCACTGCATCTGAGCATCCCTCCCCATCCTTCAGACTCATCCTCAGGTTTCTGCAGCAGAGTCTCAGTTGTTCGATTCCAGTAAGGAATCATTTAATAATTGAGTGGTACAGCCAAAGGGGCAGCTCCGTGCTGGTGCCACTGGAGAGGGACCTGAGCTTCTGATGGTGCTGACCTCCTTATCTTCTTGTTTGTGCTTCTTATGTAGTTTGTTTCTTTCATTGTATGACAAGGATTTGCCAGGGAGTGGAGGGAAGAATCAGACTGCTGGCTGTTAACTGGTCATTCAGTCACCCAGTGGTAGGTGCATATAGCTGTAGGCTATCAGTTGAAGACTGCTGTAAATTCCAAACAATTCCAATTTCTTTTCTGCTTGATCTTTACACCTGTCATACCAGTGCTGGCTTTGGGCTGAAGAAGAAGTTAGCTTTGAAATGCTTACATTCTTTTCATTGTTGCTGCCCTTCCTTGTTCCCTCCTTAGACATGGGTGTGCTTGCTGAGTACTTTGAGTTAATCTTTTGTGCCAATGAAGTAAAATTCTGCAAGATATAAGACTGTTGTATGGCTGTGGCTTTCCTTTAGTCTTTAAACTTTGTGAATTCTGTGCAAATTTTGTTCCAGAAAAGTTATAGCAGCAGTACATCTATCCTCTTAGAAGGCTTGGTGTCTTGAAATATATGCACTTGGAAAATACAGATAGATATTTTACAACTGGATTATATGTCAGAGCTTTCTCCTCTTCTCCCCTTTTTCCTCTTCTTGTGGTTCATGATGCAACAGATTCTTCTGTGTAAACTAAGCTGGCAGATGAATCAACCCATGAACCTGGCACATTTCAAGAGTACCATCAAAGAAGATTGATAAAAACTGTGCTGGTTCCATCTGTATGGTGAGCGGCACAGTTTACTAGTTAGCTATCCATCTGGCCTTAGCATTGCATTACCTTCTTGCTGACTGATAATACGTTGCAGCAGTTTAATTCCCTATTTTTGTCTAGTATCTAAGACACCTTGATTAGGCACTCTTCTCGTATGACAGTAGGGACTGAAGCTTAGGAGTTGTTTAGGCAATCCTCGGTCATTGTTGACTGACATGTGGTTGCTCCCAAAGCTATTCTTCCTAGCTGTCTTAGCCAGTGTACTCTCTTGTTCTGATGCAAGATGTGCCAT